AGTCAGGCCAAAGGCAAGCCAATTTATAGGCCTTGACAAGTCGTCTGACTCATTTACACTTAAGAAACCAAAATAATAATGATAAAGGTTTATTGTTTGTCATGTCACATGACATAAGGTTATGTCATATGACTCGTATCACCCAAAATTATGTCGTTTTGAGAGTTCGGGTAATCAATGAGGAGTTTTTGATATTTTTGTTTGTTTATTTATTATATAAATTTTACTCAAATACCCTTCATTAATTCCCTGAACTCCCAAAGTGACGTAATTTTGGAGTGACATAACATACTTTTATGTCATTTGACATGACAAATGATAAACCCTAATAATAATAATAATAATAATAATATAGACAACTTGTCTTATGTTGTTGAGACAAACGATGTGGGATCCCTTTTTTATAAAAAAAAAAAAGAAGAAAAAATTTAAAGGGCCCACCATTTTGTTAGTACAAGAGAGAGATTTGTCTTATGTAACTGGAGAAAATTTTTTTCCTAATAATAATAATAATATAACTTTAGTTAGTTTTTTAAATGAAAATGTTTCTTTAAGAAACATTCCTCAAAATAGCCAGCAACTTTTAACAATATAAGAAATTTCTTTGTATCAATATGGAACTACAGATACATATACATTATAATAATTTAAAATATAGACAATATATATATATATATATATATATATATGTGTGTGTGTGGTTTGATGTTTGTCATTTTAAATGACATAAGTTATGTCATTTTAAGGAGGAGATAGACACAATCACACAAGGAATAGAAATCATGGGAAAGAAAGTGAATGGTTTTTTTTTAATTTAAATCAAATAAAAAAATTATTTTGTGTTTATCTCTCTCTTAAAATAACATAACTTTATGTCATTTAAAATGACAAATATTTTTCTATATATATAAGATAAAATTATTTTCTATAACATGATGAACATTTCTTCTATCACAAGAGATGAAATTATTTCCTTCGATCCCAAAACTACAGAGTTTTGAGGATCATGAGACTTAATGATAGGTGATTTGATAAAATTTATATAATAAAAAAATTACGAAAACACCCTTCATTAATTCTCTTAACCTTCAAAATGGCATAGGTTTGAGGTCGCAAGACATAATTTCATCTCTTGTAAGAGAAACGTTAATCCCAAAATGTTAATTTATAAGGATTGAGGAAGGTTATACTTACAACCTATTTTCATTTACAACCTCTTACACCATATTTTAACTGTTGATTTATGTCAATCAACAGTTATTATTTTCGCTAATCAAGCTCATTAATTAATTATTAATTTGCAATAAATGATAATCGTTGATGGCGAAAATCAACGGTGAAAATATGGTTGTAAGAGGTTGCAAACAAAAATAGGTTGTAAGTATAACCTTCCTCATAAGGATTAACTTTTCTCCTTCACAGGAAATGAAATTATTTTTACAGCTCCAAAACAACATCGTTTTGGAGTTAAAGATTAAAAATAAAAGGTATTTTAGCAAAATTTATGATTCAAAGATGAATATAAATTTTTTAAAATACCCTTTACTTTTAGGGTTCAATTTTTCTGCAATCAATATAGATAAATGTAGATAAGTTATCTACATTGAGCCAAAAACAACGCTATTTCTTGACGAAAATCAAGGTATTTTTGTAATTATAATTTATTTCAGGGTTATATTAGTCTTTCTCATTATAATGTTTTAAATTTTTAACACAAAACGACGTCATTTTGAGAGTAAATGTAAATAACTTATCTACATTTATTATAGAAACATTAAAGCCTTATTTTCAATTCTAAATCCCAAAACAACGTCATTTTGGGAGGCAGAGATAACTTTATCTCCTGTGACAAGGAGAAACATTTTTTTCATATATTTTCTGCAGTGAATACAAATAAGTCATCTGTATTGAGACCAAAACAACGTCGTTTTGGAACATAAATCAAGGTATTTTTGTAATTTTAATTTATTTCAGGGTTATAACAGTCTCTATCATTATATTTTTTTACAAAACGACATCGCTTTGGGAGTGAACTTATCTGCAACCACTATAGAAATATTTTTCTGATATGTGTATATATATATATTGGATAGGTTATCCTACCTACAATTTTTATTCTATTTTTGCTTACTACTCTCCAATACCGTTAGATTAGAGTCTAAGGAGGAGAGAGAAAGATAAATGTTAATTAAGATTCTGATATAATGGTCTTTTAGAATGGTAGGTAGAAAAAAAGGTAGGTAGAATAACCTATATATATAATGAAATAATAAATTTAATTGAGATATGTTATTCTATATACCTTTATTCTACTTACCTTTTTTTGGACATTATAGGGAATCGAACTGCACACCTAATACACCCTAAACACACCCAACACCACTAGGCTATCCCTAGTGGTGCTTATTCTACTTACCTTTGCCTACCTCTTTTAATAACATTAGATTATAATCTCATCCAACGATAGAGATTTACGTAATAAAATAAACTATTTTTTCCTTTCTTTCTCCTTAGTGCCTCTCACACCCTTTCTCTCTCCTCTCCTTTCTCCATAATCCGTTTTACTATAGAATCAATAATTGTAAACACATAAACCAAGTTTAAGGCAGAGATAGAAAAAGGGTGCAGCCTCATCCCTATAATTCCAATCACTGACAAAATGAAGAAAATCTAATAAATAAAAGAGGAATTTTCGAATCAGGGTCCTCTAAATTGTTGAATCGTGCGAATGAGGGTAGAGACCTCCATGGTTGAGTAAGAAAACAAAATTGTTGATTGATTTATCTACAATACAATGATTTGCGGGCACAAATTCATTAATCAATTTTTTAGTTTTGTTGATTCAATTGCTACAATTCTACAATACAATGAGTTGCATCATTATATGTTATTATTTAAAAGAGAAATATTGAATACAATTCTACAATACAATGAATTGTCTCTGTCTTGGTCGATAGAGAGAAAAAAAGAGGAGGGAGAAAGGGTGAGAGGCGGGAAGGAGAATGAAATAGGTAAAATGATTTATTTTATACTACAAATCTTCACCGTTGGATGCGATTATAATTTAATATGTTGAAAGGGTAGGCAAATTAAGAATAGGCAGAAAATAATGTTTTAAAAAATAAATTCTTAGAACCCTTTAGAACCCTTCTCACGGAGATAAGTATAAAGTGAGTTATTCAAGTAAAGAAATTAGGAAAATGATTGATTGTGATGATTGGATTTATAAAATAAAAGGCAATTAATAATAAGGAAACAATAAACTAAATTCAAATGTATTAAGATGATGGATGAGATATAGGTCAGGTTCAATTTCCCTGATGCAGCAATACTGAAACGATGCTATAGCAATACTCTATCAATGCTTAATTAGTAACCGAACACTAAAGTATGTTGGGGCTTTTGGCCAACCTAACATATATAACTAATTCCCACATCTCTATGGCCAAATTAATTACTGAATTATTAAAGTTCAAGTTCAAAGGTTATGTGGTGTGAATAATCTCTCTACCCACAACTTAATCAAGTTAACTTCTTAACCTAATTAATCCACACAATTCAACAAGGGTCTGGATTCGAAAACCTCTCGGTCCCAACCTCCTCAATATCATATATGTATCTCTCGACATGCACACATGAATAAGATTAAGCAAACTTGTTGAAAAACTAATTAAACATTAATAGAAACAAAGTTTAGGCATACATCTCGATGTTACAACATAGGTACTTTATGACCTAACCTAAGGAGCAAATTAGCTCATAATGGAATTAAACAAAACAGAGAAAAGGAAGAAAGAACTCATTGGAAAACAGAAAAGAAGAGGAAAACGAATGTTGTTGTAAAACTCCGTCACAGTCTTGCTCCAACAATGCTCCAGCAGCTCTTCCTCTTCCAAGAATCTCACTTTCTCTCTCTAAAACGACCCTTATGGCTTGACTTCGATTCCTCTGACTTTGTAACCTCGTCTACCTCTTTAATCTGTGGGGGACTCCTTATTTAAATAGGAAAAGTGGTTGGATAATTAGGTCTTAGGTTTAGGAGTGAGATTCCATGAATCGTGTTGCTGCAGCCCTATCTTATCCCTATTTTCTTGGGCTGTTGGCACTTGATTGGATAAGATCTTGATCTTCCTGATTTTCTTGTGTCAATATTGTTGTTGATCGAATACAAGTTTGTTGTCCTTGTCCCTTGGGATTTTGGGATAAGAATCAATCTTCAAGAATGTCCTTGATCCTTGCTTGCTGGTGCTTTATCCACTTGTTAGGGAATAACTAACTTTTGAATTTCAAAAATTCAGTTGTTCCCTTGTCCTTGCTGTTATGCTGTAGCGATTGCTATATCATTGCTTTGTCAACTTCTGTGCTACAGCATTCTGACGTCAATTTTTCCTGCAAAGACAAACACTCAACAAGTCATCTTTTCTTACATAAAATCAAGGATTATTATGTTATTTTCCATACTTAGTTATCTCAAAGCACTTAATCATGAATATACAACAATTAGCTCAATTATCATGCAAACAAGACAACTTATATGGAATTTATGCAACAAATTTATCATAAAAATACAAAATTAACTCTCAATTGGGAGAGTTAACAATACCTCTAGACTTATACCCAATAGATAGATAATAAATAAAGGGTTCGCTTTTTCTACAGTCAATGTAGATAACTTATCTACAGTGAGCCCAAAACGACGTCGTTTTGAGGCAGAAATCAAGGTATTTTTGTAATTATAATTTATTTCAGGGTTATAATAGTTTTTTTCATTATAATTTTTTAATTTTTCAACCCAAAACGACGTCGTTTTTTAGAGCGAATGTAGATAATTTATCTGCATTCACTTTAGAAACATTAAACCCATAAATAAATGATAAAATAGTTATTTGTTATAATTTCCAAACGAATATACAAGTGAATAATTAAAAATAAGAAATTTAAATTTTGCGTTAGTGTTTTCTTTTATCTTCATTGTTTACTTCAACAGCTTTTAACAAAAACCGATATGAAATGGAAGCTGCAAAGGGAGCTATGAAAGCTGTGGCCCTCATCATCGGAGATAACAACGTCAGAGGTTCTCTTCAGTTTGTTCAGCACCCAAATGGTCTCTCTCTCTCTCTCTCTCTCTCTCTCTCTCTCTCTCTTTGGGGTCTTGAAAGATGTCTCTGTATCTATGAGTTTGTGTTTATTTAGCTTGTGATGCTTATCTCTTTTGATTGTGATTGTGATTATGTAGGGACTACCCATATAACTGGTAGAATAACAGGGCTTTCTGCAGGCCTTCATGGGTTCCATATTCATGCTTTTGGTGACACCACCAATGGTTGCAACTCCACTGGTTTGAACTCTTCTCTTCATTAAGTATCACCAATGTTATCATCAACTTTTACAATTCTTTCTATACCTATCTTTTGTGGCAAAATGGTAGAACATATTTCAGTTTATGTTTTGTGTTTTAATTTTAACTTTTAAAACAAAACACACATTTCATTGACTACTCTACAAAATAGTTTTAGGGAAAAGAAAAAAAAGTACCAGAACACAATCAAACAGGTCCTAAATCTTTCAATTTATGTTTTTTGCTTTGAATTCTTCTTTACTTCAGGTCCTCACTTCAATCCACTCAAGAAGGATCATGGAGCTCCTACGGATAATGAGCGTCATGCTGGTGATTTGGGTAACATTGTTGCAGGCCCTGATGGTATTATCTGCTTTCTTATTATTATTTTCATTTTTATTTTGATATTCTGAGTAATTTATATGAGTTGTGTCCTGGGAAGTGTTCTAAGAGTTTTCTGTTTTGAAGGAGTTGCTGAGATTTCTGTCAGAGATGGACAGGTAAAGAACTGAACTTTGGGTATTGTGTGATGTTTACTTGACATCAGTTTGGTAATTTCATTTTATTTGTGGTTTTGGAGACTCATCTCATGTTCAAATGTGTTTGTGTTCTCCAATATTAACTTTCATTTTGTATTGTGTTCATTTGGTTGATATTTTTGTTTATGAACTTTGAGTGTTGTTTAATTGGGTCTAAAAGCACTTGAGTTTCCCCTTTCTCACTTTCATTGTGTAGATTCCGCTAACTGGACTTCATTCCATACTTGGGAGGGCTGTTGTTGTGCATGCTGATCCTGATGATCTTGGAAAGGGTAAGATTTTAAATTTTGTCGACAGAATGGATGAACATGTTAGTGATGTTACACTAGGTTTAATCTTGTTTCCACTTTGAAATATAATTTTTCTTTTCCCCTACACATATCGTTTTATACTATAATTCATTGAAGTAATTTCTCTATGATTATAAGCTGTATTGACTACCCTTATTGCTTGATATGGTAAGATCGAAGTGCCAATTACTTGTGGGATCCAGGTTGATACTGTTCCATTAGAAGTAAACCTTTTTATTTCTATATCTCTCAGCTTGGCCACATATATTTCCTTCTCATGTTTAGTGCTCATTTAGTATTAACATCTTCTGTCACTAAGGAATTGCAAAAGCTTTTTGTCTAAGTTGTAACTCCTCTGATGTGATTTGTTATTTACTGACCTAATGACTATTAAGCACTGTGCTTCAACTAATTCTGCTCTATTATTCCCTGTTATCTTTTATTTTGTGATCTACAAAGCCATCTTAGTTCACTGCTGTGGTGCCATGATAAGTTGTTAATCTCTGGTCATTGCTTATTTGTACATACACATGCATATTCTAATGTGTAAACCATACATCTGAGAAGCTTTGTAGTGTACAAACTACACCCTCCTTTTGTATGTTGAACATTTGTGCATTGGCGTGATGAGTAAATAGGCAATTTAGTCC